TGGCCCAACTGAGGGCTGCTGGGAGCAGGGGGTGGAGCTTGTTGCATGTGCCCGCCCCCTGGGCTCCGTACTACCGGAGCTCCGCTCCTGTGCGCTCCCACAGGAAATGACCCCTGGTTGGTTTTCACAAGGGTCACTGCCACCCAGCATCAATGTCAAGATGATCCTATGGAAATCTGCCTGCTTTGCCCTGAACAGACACAGTGGGCCATATTACATTGGGGGGGGGGGTGAGTTCCATGAGTGAGCTCCCAAGGGGGTTTTCCGTGTGTCTTCACATGTGATTTGGCCCTGATCACGTAGCAGGGGTGGAGGTGGGTCGTGGAAAGCGTGCCATGTTGGGGCTTCTCCTGTACCTGACAAGCCTTTCTTCTCTCTCCCCCAGATGACTATGCGGTTGCCGAATACAATGCTCCATGCAGCACAGGTAAGGATGTTGCAGATTTTCCAAAAGGAAGAGCACTGAATTATTGTGCAATGCTCCCCCTAAGCTATGGAGTCTTGTGAGCAAAAAATCTACTTTGTGAGCTACTGACATTAAAGTTGTGAGCGAGCAATTTGGCTACTGCATAAATTACTTTACTTTGGAGCCATCCTTCCTTTTTTTTTTTTAATGAAGATTTTATTGGCTCCCCTAAAAAGGGGAGGTATTTCGCTTAAAAGAAAAAATGGGAAGGGTAGACAGTGGGAGAAAGAGAAAGCTGAGTGATATATAAACTGGTAAATTAAACTGTTAGTAATGTCCAATTAATCTTCTTGGGCTTCTTCTGTGTGTTGTCAAACTTCTTTTCTTAGTCCGGTCACATGTAATTCTCTGTTGGTATGTTAGTAATGTTCCTTTGAATTTCTGTTAATAAAAAAAAATCTCTTCTGGGCACATTCAGAACCGCTTCTTTGCGTGCTGGGTACTTTTACTATCGCTGACGTGGAGGAGCTTCCTCTGTTGTCTTCTCCTTCCGGCTTGTTAGATCCTCCTTCGGGTTGCTGTTAACACTCTCGGTTCATGCACTATAAATCCTCTTCCTTTCATGCCATTACTGGAGGTCCCCAGCTTTGAGAATGGTATTAATTTCATTTTCGCTTTTATATCCGCTCCCAAACTCTCTACTGGGTCCTCCTCGCAACTGTTGACTTATATAAGCGCTTGCCAGGCACTCCTTGCTGTCACAGTTCAAACTTTTCCGTTTTACAAAACTCCCGTCGGATTCACAGCCATAAACAGTCCAAACATTAAACAGCCGGTGGAGCCATCCTTCCTGAGTTAAGACAAAAATGGGTGAGCCGGAGGCTAAAAAACTGTGAACTAACTCACACGAACTCAGCTTAGAGGGAGCACGCTGTAGGATGCTTGTCCGGTTGTTTGTCCTTGGTCCTGGTCACATGGGAGGATTTGCCCCGCAAGAGGGATCAGGGGCGCATCAAACAGGCGCGATCACACCGCAACATCTGGGAAGCGGAGTGCACCCGTCCCCGATCCATCCCTTCCGGCTGAAACCCCAGATTTTAAAAAACCCTAGAAAACACTACTACCTACCTGAAAATCCGCATCAAAGGTGGCCGTGGAATCGCTGGCGCGCCCGTCTCCAGCAGCATGCGAGGTCCCTGGCCAAACTGCGCAGGTGCGCACGTGCGCAGCCGGCTGCCTTGCGCTCCCTCCTGTCACTTTCCCCCCGGCATCTGATCGTACCGGGGAGCAACTGCGCGGTGACTCGGTGAATCTGTCTGATCCCGCCGCCATGCATCTCTTTTGATGCAGCTCAAAAAGCCGCGGTTTGGCCATGTCATTTCCCCCAGTGTGATGGGGGGGCTTGCTTGCCTTCGGTTTGGTCAGGAGCTCCTACCACTTTGCCCAGCAGCGGCCCTAACCTGAAACAGCAAGCCCTCTCACAAAAGCTTCTGCTGGAAGACGTGATCTTAATCTTTTGGGGGCTGTGGGGCTTCTCTTTCAACCAGCACCTACTGCTTCTTTGGGAGCTGCACACGTGGGGCTTTCTCGCAAACCAATTCCCTTTTGACAGGCAGGGAAGGAGCCGTGGTCACTTGACCCAGGTCACTTGGGAGAGGAGAAGCTGCGGGGGGGGGGGGGTGGGGCTTGTGCAGGGAGAGGAGACCTTCAGACAGATGGGTGCTGTAAAGTGCTTTGTTATGTACTGAGCCGAAAAGCCATTCCTCAAGCTGTACCTAGAACGGGCTGAGCTTGCTTCTTTAGAAGAATAGCTCACCTAGATCCAGGAACTAACCAACTGATAAGCGGTGTAATGTAAAGAGCCTATCACTGGGAGTGGGTGTGTGTTGGGTGTGGTGTTCTCAGGCTTCATAAGCAGGGCTCAAGCCCTGCTAGCATGTCTTGTAGTTTGCTGAAATCACGTAATAAACAGAGCTGATCACCGCAATGTGTCTAGAACCCAGCATTTTAACAGGCTTTCAAGGACAAAAGGCTATACCTTAAACTAATCTCAGAACCAAACCAGAAGCCATTGAAATCACTCCCACTTAGGTCTAACATGCTGGAAATGACTTGTCTGAGATACTAATTGATGTTTCCAAGTCACGTTCAAGGGCAGCCCCACGCATAGCACATTTTACAGTAGTCTGGTCTTGAGGTTTCAGTAGCATGGATGAACATCAAGCCGTCCAAGCAATAAAAAAGTACCAGCATCCGATCATAACATAATTGCAAGGAGGATGCTCCATAACTGAGACCCACTACTGAAACAGGCCGTCCTGTGGCCCACAGAGCAGGGCTTCAGTAATCTGGCAGGTCCACTTGGATCCTTTAAGCCTCCTTGTCTCAGACATACTTTGGATTGATCCCAGAAGTGAACCAGTGGCCAGTGGAGATCATCTTAGAGGGTAGCCATGTTGGTCTACAGTAAAACAGCTAGATTTGAATCCAGTATCACCTTCAAGACCAACAAGTTTTCAAGAGTCAAAGGTCCCTTCATCAGAAAGCTCATGTCCTGGAAATCTTATTGGTCTGTAAGGTGCTGCTGGGCTTGAATCGAGCAGTAGTCAATAGGAGTCCTTTAGCACACGTGAAACTCTACAATTTATGTGAAGTAGTATTAGTATTGGTGTTAGTAGCTGAAACTTCTGGACTGTCTTCGTAAGCAGCGCAGTGGTGTAACTTGGACATGATTAACAGTGCAATCCTAAACAGAGTTACTGCCCTCTAGGCCCATGAACTCCACTGGGCTTGGAAGGGTGTAACTCTGCGTAGGATGGCGCTGTGAAACCTGGAGGACTGTGGCCAAGTCTCCTTTTTCAAGGGAGGACAACCACTGGTGAACTAGTGAAAAATGACACATACCGCAGAGGAGATCTGAACCTCCATTCGTAAACATGGATCACAGCACCCGCATGTGCATTTTTGAGTGGCTGCATTGTGTGGGGATCATCCAGCTCTTTCCCAATAACAAATGCGATCACTGTAACACTAATAAATTCATTCCCCCCCCCCTCCAGTTTTGCACTTGGTCCCTCGGACCCCCCGGCAGGGGATGGGGGTGAACTTACCGGGAGCAGGGAGGAACGCTGAAAATAAACGTGACACGTCTACATGACCTGGAAGGGACATAGGCACGTTGGAGAGTGACGCTCTGGTTTTTAAGCAAAACTCTATGGTAGAATTAGCTTCTACTATAGATTTTTGCCCCAAAACCAGAGTGTCGCCTGCTCCCCGACATCACCAACATGCCTACATCACTTCCGGGTCATGTAGGCATGTCGTGTTTATTTCCGGCTTCTTGCCTGTTGGGTGTGTGTGTGTGTAATTGGGGGCGGGGCGGAGAGGAGTGCTGGAAACCGGGGAGACCCCCGCCCACACGGGGGGGGGGTGTGTGTCTGGCATCCCAAGCACTAGCCTAGTCATACAAAAGCACTGACCTGGTCATTTTATTTGGCGTCTTTTTAAAAATCGTTATTAGAACGTCCTGATTGGCTTGTGTTTCTTTCCTCAGAGATCACAAAGGAAGACCAGGCCCACGCTGTACCAGGAGACTGAAGCACCATAACGCGAATTCTGAAATGGCCCTTTGGGGATTAACCCGCTGTGCCCAGACTGTGACTTGGACCCCAGGAGCCCAAACAGAGGAATTCCCTTTTGTATGCAAGGGGTGCTGCCATTTCTCCCTCCAACTGCGGCCCCTGCGCCAGATGCCGTGTTGGTTGTTCTTTTTTTTTGGGGGGGGGGAGTCCTGACTCTCTAAAGCAGGGAGAATCGGTCCTTCCTCATGCGTGGTGGAAGTACTTTCTACTTATGCAGGAGGAGGTGCTGGATTTGCCTGTGGTACACATGTCCATGGGGAGGGGGGTGTCTAACTAATTGTCTTTAAAAATGGGGAACGGAAAGATGAAGAAGAAGAGATTGGATTTATACCCCACCCTTCACTCAGAGTCTCAGAGCAGCTTACAAGTTCCTTTCCCTTCCCCTCCCCACAACAGACACCCGGTGAGGTCGGTGGGGCTGAGAGAGCTCTGAGAGAAACGGCTTTTTCAAGAACAGCTGTGCCAGGATTACGGATTGCCCAAGGTCATCTAGCAGCTGCAAGTGGAGGCGTGGGGAATCAAACCTGGTTCTCCCAGATTAGAGTCCACACACTTAACCACTGCACCAAACTGGCTCTTCTGGAACAAATTTTTTCCTTTCGGAATAACAAATGAAGTACTGTTTTAAAGCAGCATAAAATAATATGATCAGAGCCAATTTGCACCGTTGGGTCAGAGACCACTGAGTGTTTGGATTAGTAACCAAGAAACCTTTGGAGGCCTGTATGTGGGGGGAATGCTTTCAACTACTGCACCTCGTAGCCCATCTTCAGTTTCCCTGGTCTAGGGGGAACAGCATGGAAGTCAGCCAGACGTGACGTGGGCCACACAGCACGGCTTTGGGTTTCTGTAGCAGGCCTCTCACTTGCCTCCATTTCCTCTGTCTTCTGTTCCCATAATGCTTAACTCTATAGCCAAATGCCTTGCTACTCTTTCGTTGCATTACCGGGATGTTTATTTCCTTTTTTCCCCTTCTAAAAAAAATCTGTTTCCACATACTATTATCTTAGCCCAAATAAAAAATATTCATTTGGCTTACTGTCATATCGATGGCTTTTATTTTCAACTCCTGTTATCCTCCCTTGACAAAGATTAAAATACATTTTATAAAATACTGGGTTCAAGACACATTGCGGTGAACAACTCTACTTTATTCAGTGATTTCAGGAACAAGACTCAGGGCAACAGCCCTGTTTAAATAGCATGCAAAGACCACACACAAACACACCCAACTCCCAAGGATGGGCTATTTACATAACATTAGTTTCTCATTGGTCATTTCCAGAGTCCTGGTGGGCTATTATTCTAGGGCTCCAAACTCAGCCAGTCTCCAGCAGATAGTCCTGATCCTGGAGTGTTCCACATTTTGATACCTTGCATTTCACAATTTCATCTCTTCTATTAAAGTTAATTAAATTAAACAGGCGCAGTGGAGGGGAGGGAGCTCCTTACCCCGGTGGCTCCTGCTCCGATTGCCTGTGTCTAGCAGGAGAGTTGGATTAGCAAATCCCAGGCTGGGGGTGAGCTGTGGAGCCGCCCAGTGCCACCGGCGAGACCAGCCTGGGCGAGAGCGAAGCGAGGTTCCCCCCTGGGAGAAATGCAGGGCCGTCGAGGAGGCTGTGGTGGGCTGGGGGCATGGCGGCAGGATGGCCGAGGCAGACTCTGCCTGGCTGCATCTCCCCCTGCTCTCCTTTCACCTCGCGCTGCCTGCCAGGGGAGCTGCATGACATCAGCAGAGATTCCATCAAATTCCCCTCCGACGCCAAGCAGAGCCAAAGCAAAGTGGAGCAGAACTGCGGGGGGGGGGGGGGGGGGGAGACTGTGCTGAGAGAGAGAGTTGGAGAGATGGATGGATGGATGCATGGACAGGGGAGGAAAGACAGAGGCAGGACAGAGGCCCACTGTGCATCTAGCATTCGCTCTGCTCTTTTACCAAACCCACACCGGAACAGAAAAAGATGCGGCTCAAAACCATATTCAAATACCCCGGGCCAATGCCATACTGACTGCAGAGTCACTCCTGAACAGCCATAAATCAGCCATAAATCTATGCAGATGGTACCATAAAACCGAGAGATCAAACGACATGAAAACGCCATGCAGTCTGAACACTGCCATAAAATCCGACAATCCATCAAAGTGAAAGTGGCATGAAATGTAGGCTGAATCTGCATTTGTCTTTCCCACCGGAGTCCCAGCCTTTTGACTCCGTCTTCAAAAAAGCTGTCTACATTTGGTGTCCTTTGAGTGCGTGGAGTGGCCCCCGGTACAGGCTGAGGAAGTCGAAATTTTAATTGCATCAATGAAAGGGGGGACAGCCCCTGAGGCCATAAAAGTTTTCTCTCAGTGGTGGTCTCCCTTTCTGGCAGATTTATTCACTGCTATAGATAAGACCGGTCAAATACCAGATGACTGGAAAAATGCTATAATAGCACCGATCTTCAAAAAGGGAGATTGCCAGCTCCCAAGTAACTACAGACCAATAAGTCTTTTGTCCATCGTTGGGAAGCTCTATGCCAAACATTTGGCTATAAAGCTTAAGTCTTGGATATTAGAGCAGCAAGTCCTTGGGATAGAGCAGATTGGGTTTTGTCAGGGCAAGTCAACCTTAGACCATTGCATTGTCCTTAACCACTTAGTTAATAAATACAAATCAGGGAAGGGTATGAAATTATATGTGGCTTTCCTGGATCTCAAGGGTGCCTTTGATTCAGTGCCCAGGGATATTCTGTGGGAGAAATTAAGTGACATGGGGATAGACAAGCGACTATTGTTCTTGATTAAAAATCTGCATTCTGGAAACACCTGTCAGATTAGATATTCTAAGAAGGGGGACCTAACAGCCAAGATCCCCATTAACGTGGGAGTTAAGCAGGGCTGCATTCTTGCGCCAACCCTATTTAACCTCTTCTTAAATGATTTAGACCCCTTCATGAGGAGTATTGATGGCCATTGCCCTAAACTGGGTGAGAGGCATGTCCCGTTACTTTTGTATGCGGACGATGCTGTCCTGCTCTCTCTCTCAGAAATGGGGATGAAAAGGATGCTTGCACAAGCTCTTGCTTACTGCAATAAGAACAAGTTGTCCCTGAACTTCGATAAATCCAAAATCATTGTGTTCGAGAAAAGTTGGAAGCCCATTAAGTGGGTTATACAGGGG